GTAGCACTAACTCACAAAGGCCATGTTAAAGTATCAACAGATGAATAAAGAAAACATGCAATATATGTGCAATGGGATTTTAGTCTTTAAAAATAGCATATTTTCAACACCTTGAACAGAACTGGAGAACCTTATACTAAGTGATATAAATCACGCACAAAAAGACAAATATTACACACATTTTACCTTGTACATGGAATATACAAGAGACTCGGGCACACAGTAGAATGATGGTTACAGAGGCTGCAGGGTGGGAAGAATGGAGAGATGATGGTCTAAGTTTACATAACCTCAGGAGGAATGGGGTACTTTTAGATCTATGATGTAGCACTATGAATACAGCTAACAAGAATGTACTGTAAATTTCAAATTTACTGAGTCAATTGAAACTAGCATGTGCAAGGCTCTGGGTTTGATCTCCAACACTACAAATAAAGTTGCATATGATTTAAATGTGTCTAGAGAGGCCAAGGTAGCCCAGCCCTAAGTTTAAAAAAAAGTAAACTTCAAATGTTTTCATCATAAAAATTACTTAAGATCAGAATGTGTTAATGGGCTTGATTTAATTCATATCATATTCGTAATTTATAACATTACTTTGTACTCTGTAAACATATACAATTTAAAATTACTAATCTGTGATGAAGAAACAAAGGTTAAAGAACCTTTTTCATCAAAAGCATAGGCACCAAAAGTAAAAATAGATAAAATGCATTATCAAAATTTCAAACTTCTACACATCAAATAAAGTGCTAAGGCCCTCTACAGAATGAAGAAAATATCTGCAAACCATACATCTAAGAGGGGTTAATAACCAGAATATATAAAGAACTATACTCACCAAGACTAAGTCACTTCTTTAAACATGGGAAAAGTGTTTGGATAGTCACTTCAACAATACACATATAACCAATAAACATGAAAATATGTTCAACTTCACTAATGACAAAATATAAACCAAAACTACCTGATACCCATTAGGAGGCTGCTATCAAAAAATCCAGAGAAGTATTGGCAAGGCCATGGAGAAATTAAAACCCTTATGCCTACTGGTGACAATGTAAATGGTGTAGTTGCTCTAAAAGCAGTACGATGGTTCCACAAAAATTTAAAATGACTCAGCAATCCTACCTTTCAGCATATGGTCAAAAAAATCAAAGTATGATCACAGAGGCATTTGTACACCCAGGTTCATAGCAACTTCACTCCCAATAGCTAAAAGGTAGAAGTAACTTAGATGCCTAAGGATGGATGAACAGATAGAGTGGAATACACATACAAGGGAATACTGTGCAGCCTTAAATAGAATGGAAGTTAGGCATGGTAGTGTATGTGTGTAACCCCAGAATTCTGAGAGGCTAAGGGAAGTGGATAGCAAGTTCAAGCCCAGCGTGGGTGATTTAGCAAGACCCTATCTCAAAATGAAAAATGAAGGGCTGGAGAAGTAACTCAGTGGGAAGGTCCTCGATTCAAATCCCTGTACAGGAGGGGTAGGTGTACCTAAGAGGTAGAGCACTTACCTAGCATGCATGAGGTCCTGGGTTTAATTAACCACAGTTAAAAAAAAGAGTGAAATGTCAGTTCCCAAAAACAAAAGTAAAAATACTGCCTGAGTTCATTTATATTCAGTACTTCAGAGTAGTTAAAATTAGAGGCAAGTGGAATTGGATGTAGAGTTCTTTAAAAGCATGAAGTTTCAGTTCTTTATGAGGAAAAAGAACTGCACACTTACAAATGGCTAACTGTAAATACTATAAAATTCTTTAATTAAAACTAAGAATAATTCTTTAAAAATGTATGGGCCAGGTGTGGTGGTGCACACCTGTAATCTCAGCACTTGGGAGGCTGAGGCAGGAGATCACTGCAAGTTAGAGGGCAGTCTAGGCTACGAAGTGAGTTCAAGGTCAGCCTGAACTGCATGATACCCTGTCTCAAAAAGACAAAAACAGGGGGCTGGGGATTTAGCTCAGCAGCACAGTGCCTGCCTGGCAAGTGTAAGGTCGTGAGTTCGATCCCTGGTACTGGGAAAAAAAAAAAAAAAAAAAAACCACCCAAAAAATAAATAAATGAACTCCCCCACCAAAAAAAAGACAAAAAAAAAGTTATGTATGGAGATTACGGGTAGAAAAGGAGGGACTTTTGTTTTTCTACTTTGTCCTACACTGTTTATATTTTGATCAACATATACTAGGCTAGTACTTTGAAATTTAATTTTTAAAAATTCCACTGTAATTTGTAGATTAAAATTAAACTGTAGGTACCTAGGTTCTTAAGTTGCCTTAAAACATTTTACCAAGCATTTCTTCAAAACATATAGCACTAGATGCTTATGGCTGCAGATGGAATTAGGTAAGGAACGTCCCTGTACATCTAGGTAACATGAGATGTTATTAGGCTTGCTCCAGGAACTGCCCCTCACACTTTGCGGCCCATAACAGCTTAATGCAAATTAGACACAGATCCTCTTCCTAATCCTGGAACTGCTGACAAGTTGACAAGTTGGTACCCACAACCACAAATTTCTAAGACCTTACAATTTTTTCTTCTCCCAACTTGCTACTGATAGAACATCAGGCCCATTACAGGACTTACTTTTCTTTCACATACTTATTCTCTCCTCCTCCCACCATTCTCTTCAAGAATGTTACAAGAGAATCAGTGGGTGGCTAGCAAGACCCCCTCGGATACCAGGAGCCATTCTGGAAAAACAATTGTTCACATACCAAGGGCTGCCAACAAGAACAGCTTCCCAGCAGCATGTTTTAGTAACCTTAATGAAGCAGAGAGCAATACCTCCTGCAATAAAAATTCTGGTTGGAAGAAAGGATCTACAGATTGTGGAAAAGTACAACTTAAAAAGCAAACACCACAGGCTCCAGGAGAACAGGAAAGCAAGCAGAGATTTCTAAATACAGAGCTCAATTGTAAGAGTTAACTGTACCTTATTTCTCACTATCTTCTGCTCTGTCAAAAATAGAACCTTCCCTATCTTGATCCATTCAGAATAAGCCACAGCAGGCACAGCTCTGCTTACAGAGCAGCCGGGTCAGAGAGGACACTCAGAGAAATGGAAAAGCAGCCAGCAGGCTTTCTGAGGGATTATACTTGCTCCAGCTTTTATCCTTCTTCCCATCTACTCTGGTGCCAAAAAAGCTGCAGGGAAGTCTTTGCCCTGCTTTGAAAATTCTTCAGTCTTTTCACCAGCAGAGCTGAAGCACTCTCAGGGCAGCAACTCCCTCTACTGCCCAATATTTTCTTTGCATCTTGTAGTTGGTTTAATGAATTTCAACTCAAAAACAGTAAAAGAGCTAAAGCAGCCCTTTATTTACAACGTCACCCAATGGCATAAACTCAGAAGAGAACCACAGCCAGAATGCAACATTCTAAGTGGAGCTGACTTCTACAAATCTCCATCACAGAAAGGATTTCTTTCATTCAGCTTAATGAAAAATCTCCCCTGTAGGCATGGAAAAAAGGAGCTAGATTTCTTGGTCCTTCCTCGCCCATCCTTAACACTGCCTTCAGAACTTAAGACAGGACTCGAGGCTGGGGAGCAGTTCAGTGGTAAGCACTTGTCTAATAAGACATGAAGCCCTGGATCCACCCTAACACCATAAAAACAATAAAAAGTTAAATTTAAAAAGTAAGACAGACCGGCCGGGGACATAGCTCAGTGGCATAAGCGCCTGCCGGGCAAGCTTAAGGTCCTGAGTTCAATTCCCGGTTTAAAAAAAAAAAAAAAATCAGACAGACTTATTTAATCTTTTAAGATCCAACTTAAATAGCACTTAGGAGAGGACATGGCATTAAATTTATCTGATTACAAATCTGTTTCACTGTATTTTGCGTAATTTTGTGCCTAGACAACAGCAGATGCTCAAAAATCATTTAACAGAATTTTTCCACCTTGAACTGAGGATGTAAACGTAAGAATCAGGTAATATGCAATCACCATAATCAAATCCTTAGATGTAAGAGACTGAACAGCATGGGAAGTAAACACAAGTAATTCCAGTTATTCAGGAGGCTGAGACAGGAGGATCTCAAGTCCAAACCCAGCTGTGTCAAATTACTGAGATCCTCAAAAAAAAAATAAACTTTTCTTAAAAGGCTGAGGATATAGCTCAGCATTCCCTAGGGTTAATCTCCAGCAAACACACACACATACATACAGAGCATTTGGGCTGAGTGTGTAGTTCAGTGGTAGAGCACTTGCCTAACGTGAGTGAGGCCCTGGGTTTGATCTTCAGCATTGTGGAAAAAAATAAAAAGACACAGATGTTTCTCCAATATTCTAGTAATCCTTAACAATTTTCCAGTTCTGCTTGTGGTCTTTTCCAGTTTCACAAATGTTCCTTTCTGTAAGTCTTAATACAGCTTATTTTTAATATACCTTAAGGGCACTTTATTACTTTTCACTACACTGAGTTTAGTGATAAAATAATCAAAGATCTCACAGTATCTCAGTAAGAGTGCCAAGGAAATAATGAAACTATCAAAATGTTCTTTGCCTATTTTAGTTAGAAACTCTATAGTGTTCCACATTCAGCATTAGAATTTTTTTCTTGCTGTCCTGGGACTGAACCTAGGGCTGCATTCATTTTAGACAAATGCTCTACCTCTAAGCCATAACCCATTTCAAGAGTTAGAATTAATGAAGATGTAGTTAATTAGTGTAATTGCTTTATTTTTGTGAAGCCTCCCTTTTTCTGCCACCCAATACTGGAAGCTTACCTGTCAACAATTCCTAGGGGCTGGGGATTTAGCTCAGCGGCACAGCGCCGCCTGGCAAGCGCAATGTCGAGTTCAATTTCCAGTACCGGAAAAACACAAAACAAAACAAAACAAAACAAATTCCTGCCCTCTGCTTCAAGAATGTACATAGGTCCATGCTCTGAGAAAAGCAAAAGCCCAGGGCAACTGGTAATTTTAGAAACGAAGATACCAATACTAATAGTGCCACTAAGTGTTGGTCTTCACCACTGAACAGAAAGAAACAATTTCATTTCTTAATAAAAACAAGTCTACATTTATTGGCCTCCAGTAAAAACATAAGGGTAGTCAAAACAATATGAACAAGTGTTTTACAGATACTCCCAGGGCTTTTTTTTTTTTTTTTTTTTACATATTATCATAATTGCCATCGCCTCACTTCACTGTTGTCTTAATTCATTGATCATTTCTAGTTGGAAACACTTTGTAGCAGAGTAATATTGTCTCCTTTCAGCATGATCCGACCTGCAAGAACAAAAAAAGCTATCAATACTCACACTCAGATGTATACAACTCAGAATTTTGTTCCCAATTCACCAGTATTTTCTTTTGTGAAGTTAAGTGAACACTTTGGAATGGCACATACTGAAAAGCTTGCTAGCTCCATTAGTACACATGCACCTTTTCAACAATAACCTAATGCAGGTAGGTGCTACTTTGTGAAAATTTCTACAGATTAAAGTCAACTAATGATGCCTATACAACATTTCCTAATGTTGACTTCACGAAAACTGGGAAATGAGTTGTATGTTAAGTATGGAAAATGCAGCATGTTCCCATTCTTAGCATGGTCAATGTATTAGACTCCATCTTGCAGTAAACAAACCTGTTTAAATTTTATCCAACATTTGCTAAACTTGAGAATACTTTTCTTTCTGACAAATCTCTATAAATATCTTCAAAACACTGGTGTTGACTGATAAGCTGCTTATCCACTGCAAAAATAAACTAGTTTCAATTCTGAGACTTTCACAGATATTATTAGTCTGTTTACAAGATGCATACAATCCTGGGAATCAACAGTTAGCAAATACTTTAGCCTAAGCAGAAATATATCACATCACTTCTCAGAATCTATTTTCCACATATCCAGCATAGTTTCAAGAGACTACTCAGGGTCTGTGAAAAAGAAAAATCACCTAAAACCTACCTTTGATAAACATACTAGTGAGCTACATATTGAGTATTTAACAAACAAAGACAAACAGTGTATAAATAAAAATGAAGTTAATGAGATCTTAGCAAAAATGATTCAGTGTCTCTTGATGAAATCATGAATCCTAAAGCCCCTTGTCAACTAGGTTCGGCCAGGGGTAGTGATGCATGCAATCCCTGCTACTTGGGAGGCTGAGGCAGGAGTATCAAAAGTATGAAGTCAACCTGAGCAACTCAGCAAGACACTGTCTCAAAATTTAGAAGGGCTGGGAATATAGCTTAGGAATACAGCATCTGCCTATCACTCATGAGCCCCTGGGTTCAATCCTCAGTAGGGGGAGGGGGCAGGGGGAGGGTATTCAAATGTTAAGTTTCTACTACATACCAGATACTATGTTAATTATTGAGAACATTAGGGGTCAAAAAAGACATGACTCATGCTTGGCATGGTGGTGCACACCTATAACATAATCCCAGCATTCTGGAAGGATGAGGCAGGAAGATGGAAAATCCACCTAGTCTGGGCAGCCTAGTGACTTAGTGAGGAGGCCCTATCTCAAAAAAACGTGGGGGATATTGTGCAAGCCCTAAGTTTCACTCAATCCCAAGTAACCAAAACAAACACACACATGATAATGTACTTATGGGATACCTATGGGAAACACATTAATAATTCCACTTGTAAATGTTTCAGAACCCAGTCTGAGATCATATCACGCTGTCCTCTCCCACCCTAAGCAACACAAAAAAAAGCCCTCCCCTCAAACTCACAATCCTTCTGCCTCGGTCTCCCAAGTACCTAGGTTTTTGTTTTGTTTTGTTTTTGGCCACCTTCAAGTGCACTTTATTTTACAAAGGATAAAAGGCAAAATAATGCACTACAAAGAATACTTCTGATTGTAAAACACTCCATTTACAACATTAAATGAAATTAAACCTGTATTTGATCAGAAACAATGAGAACAGACTCTGTAATCAAAGAGCATCTATCTCTGATAGGAGATGGGTAAATATTCCCTCCCAGCCATGGTTTCCTTACCAACCAAGCTGCTAGGGTTACAGGTGTGTGGCGCCATGGCCAGCTGTGAGCTCAGTTGTAAAAACACACAGAGCAGCATATACACAAACTGATAGTGTAAACACTGCAGATTTAAAGAAGTAAAAGAAGAGAAGAGTGGCTAAAGCTCAGAAAGTGAGTTGAGAGTGTGATACAAGTGAGCAGGGGGAGAGAAGCCCACATGGCAAAGGACTCTGCAGAATACATGAAGGGTTTTATCATAAGAGCAACATAAAGTCCATGAAGCATTTCAAGCAAATGGATGACAAGGTCAGAGAAGCATTTTAAGAAGATGACTAAACTATGGCGCATAACCCAGAGGTGGTTGAAGTAGTTGCAGACATCAACTAATAAGCTGAATGCAAACTGGAGCCATGTAGTTGCAGAGAACTCTGAACAGCTGTAAACAGTGTGTACATAGTAACTTGAGTTTGATTTCTGATATGTGACTTTGAGGAGGCTTTGAGACATTTATGTAGGGATGCTGAACAGGCTCACAGGTCTGAGCTACAGACATAAATTTGAGTTTCAATTTACAGATGGTAACTGAAGCTGTTCTCTTGAATGCCTACAAAAATCTTGAGTGACAGAAAGGCATACAACCAAGCCTCAAGCAACTCTGAACAGTTAATGACTAGGCCTCAAAAGAATGAATATACCGAAGTCTGAAAGAGAACAGGAGAGATGAGAAATGAAAACCTTAGTACATTAGTGCCTTGATTTACAAACAAGTTCTTTCCACGATTCTGGTCACAAACTGAGTTGGATGAGGATGGAATCACATTTCCCTGTAAGGTCAACATTAAACCTAACCACTCAGTTTGATTTGGTTCTCTTCCAATTTGGTTTGCAACAAAAACTGTGGGAAGAATTGAGTTCATGAACCGAGGTACACTGATACTGACCATTATATTTAACACCATTAATCTCTGATGACCTTGGTGAAAACTGAATAGAGACAGAAGCAGAAATAGAGTGGGGTGAGGAGTAAGTAGCGGAGTAACTTCAAAAGTATATTTCTCCTTCCAAAAATAACTTCTCAAATGCAAACTAAACATGAACTGAGCTGCAACTGACATCATACTGTGAGTGAAATAAACAGAATCTTTCAAGAGCAACTGTATTTCTTACCCAGTTGTTTTCTTGACTTTGTTTTAGAATGAATTTCTTCTGCATCATCTAATACAAGGTTCATATATTCATCAAAACCCTAGAAAAGTAAGTCATCTGACAGTCATTTTCAAGTAAAATCATATCCAGACCACTCTAAAAGATTAAGTACCCACTCTTCCAGTGATCTTCCAGTGGAAGCACCTAAAACCTCTTTTTAAATAAGAAAATAATCAAGAAGGCCAGAATGTACTCCAAATTACTTCTTCAACCTTTTTGACTTAGTATTCATTAGGTATGCCAGCAAGCCATCTTTCATAAAGTACCAGTGTACAGTATTTTACATACGTATATACGTAATACTGCCCATGCTCTCTCCATGTCCTCCACAACCACTATGCCTGTTTGCCAACTGGTAATAAAGACAGAGAGGTTTTTAGAATCGCTGATCTCTACACAGAATACCAAAGTGCCCTAACATAACACTTCCAATGATATTTTATTTTTCTTTAAAACATTATTGGGGGGCCGGGGATATAGCTCAGTGGCATAAGCGCCTGCCTGGAAAACACAAGGTCATGAGTCCGATCCCTGGTACCAAAAACAAACAAATACAATTACTTGGGTTGGGAATGTAGCTCAATGATAGGGCAGATGCTGAGTACACACAAGGCCCTGGATTTAATACCCATCACCACCAAAACAAGCAAAACCACTGCTTCGGATATCTTGCTATCCTGGAAATATTAACTAATCCCACCAGCTCTATTTGGGCATCACTAACACAGAATATGGGACTGCATTAATCCCCATCCCTTTCTCTTTTGTCCCCTCCTTCCAATACTAGTATCATTGTTTAAAATTTTTAATTTCCCCCTTTTTTAAAAATTATCCAACCCTTAACACTCAAAAGAAGAACAAAGCTAAACCCTATGCCCTGAAAAGCTTTCCTTGGGGTAGGTCTTTCACTTTTTGTATACTGCTCTGGGTGGCTATTTTATGTAGAATCTATTAAGAAACTTCTCTGTGAAAAAGAGTCTGGGTACTCACAATAATACAGCCTTCTATCCGCATATTCACTTGCTCATACAGCCACACCTGAATCCGGGATCTCTGAAATAATAAAAATAGATACGTTTATTTCTTTTCATGACTATGACCTTTAAAATGCTTTCACTAAGGGCCAGGGCTATAGCTCAGCAGTACAAGTGTCTGCCTAGCAAGCACAAGGTCCTGAGTTTGAATCTCAGTACATAAAAAAAATGCTTTCACTAACAGGCACAGAGAACCTACTACTCCCAGAAAGGCAATATTTCTCCCATTTTTTAATGTGTAAAATATACAAGATCAACTGAAAACTTTTAAAAATAAAAATGTAAAATGCTATTATGTACATAGATTTATTTTACAGGAGATTTGCATAAATTTATTTTTAAAAACAAATTATACCTGCTTTAAGACATATTCCCAGGATTACTCAGGAGTTCAAAAAGCTATTTTAAAGATGCAGTCAAGAGAATATTTCCAAATAAGAAAATTTAAAACTATACTCTTTCTTCATAATCATTATTTTTAAGTATACAAAGTATTTGCCTGTTAAGAATTCAATATTAAGTGCCTTTAAAAAAAGTATATATTCTTTCAAAAAAACTATGTTTAAAGAAGAAGCCTAACCACTTTGATTAAACAATAGAGAAATGAAACTCACATTCTAATGAATATAAGCTAAGAATTTAACTAATGAGTTCACCTCTAAGAACTGCTAAGCCCGCTAAAACACATTTCCTTTTGATACATGCTATACTGAGACTGTCCAAGCTATTAATTTTTCCTATAACCTTGAGATGTAATTGTGTTTCTCTCCCTCATTCTCTTTTTATATTCTGTGGCAAGCTCTGGCTAAATTGCCCAGGCTGGGGTTCAATCCTCCTGCCTCAGCCTCCCACCGTACTGGGATTACAGGCATGTGTCAGCATGCTCCACCTGTAATTTCTTACCACTTCCAATCTCAAAACACTTAAGAGTGAGAACTGGTGACAGTACAACACAAAGCAGTAACTTCTATTCACTAGAGGGTTCTTTCTTATCTGTAACAGCAAAATACAGGCCCAAAAGAGAAAAATTTCTAGGTTCTCAATTTTCCATGTCTCACACCTATCAGGTGAGAGATCCTCAATTCTGAGGATTAAAATTACAATGGCTTGCTGGGCAGGGTGACGCTCACCTGGAATCCCAGCACTTGAGAGGCTGAGGCAGGAAGATCTCTAGTGAGTTCAAGGAAACCCTGAATTGCATGAGACCCTCCTCTTTCAAAAAAAAAATTACAATGGCTTAAAATCATTCATTTTTCAATTGTGTTCTTATACTCTAAAATTTACGTTGCTAAAAACTCCCTAAGAACAGCAGCTGCCACTAACACCTAAATCTACTCCTTTTCTCTTCCGTTGTGTCTTTGTGTGTGTGTGTGTGTGTTTTTTTTTTAAAGTATCTTTCCTTCACTTAAGTTTTCCAACCAGTAGTCAGCAACGCATTATGACCTGGTTTAACGTGACTGGGTTTTTCTTTCCTGGAGTACAGATGTAGGAAAGTTTCCAAGGGCTAGCTATAATTAACAAAAGTACCAAAGTAACCAGGGCTGAGGATGGAGCTCGGTGGCAGAGCGGCCTAGCATGCAGGAAGCCCTGGGCTCCATCCCAGCACCAATAAATCAATCACAAGTACCAATGCCCAAATGCCACTGTTGTATCTGCCAATAAACTGTGGACTGATTTTTGAAAGTGACGATACAATTTTCACGCCTGAAGTTGGCACAGACACGTAGCACTTTATTACAGAACATCTCTTCTTGTAATCCTTCCACTCAATTATCCCTCCAATCTCCGGAGTCTCATCTACTTTTAAACTCTAGGACATTACGATCAGGAAATTTGACACAGTGGAACAAATACATTTCACTTTTGCTTAAGTACGATTACAAACCGATAACGTGACTTACGTACATTCTGCAAGTATCTGAAGATGAGGTTCTGCAACGCAGGGATTAAGGAAAAAAAACACACAGCACCCTCTACACACTGGAACCCGAGGGTCGACCCGGCGCCTCCCCGCTTTGCCCGGTGAAGGCGAAGGCGGGCGGCTTCACGGGCGGGCTGCGCGCCGCGCACTAGGGAGCCGGGGAGGCTCTGAAGCAGCCTCTGCGCATCCTAGCTCTCCGCGACCCACAACTTCCTTACTGCCTAGGCAGGCCGCGTTAACTCGCGCCTTCTCTCAGCCCCCGCTTCCAGCTCTCTGCCCGCCGCTCTCCCCGCCGTCCCCGCCGTTCCCGCCCAGGCCCGCCTCTCCCCCGCCGCGGTCCCCGCGGACTCAGGGCCGTGGGCCCGCCCCGCTCCTTCAGGCCTGCGCGTCCGCCCCAGCCTCGAGGCCCCCATTCCCGGTCCCGACACGTCGCGCAGGATACGATGGGCTGCACCATCACCTTCTGCACCTTCTGGCCTTGGCCCCTGTACGCCATGGCGGAACCCGACAAAGACCACACCAGCTACCACGCTACCTCTCACGGGAACTTCCGGGGAGACAAACCAAAAGCGGAAATGAATGGCCACTGGGGCGGCTCCTGAGAAAGGCCTCTCTAGCTACAGGAGAGCTTTGCTCCTATGCTCAACAGCCTCCGGAGGAGGCCAAACTGAGGCAACGATACCTCGGGACCCGGGTTTAGCTTATAGCCGCCACCTGGAGGAAGAGGGAGGAAGTGCCGAGGAGGGGCTTCAAGCGGGTAGACCGATGCCTGCGCTCTCGCTCTCGCTTCTCCATGGGCTTTTTTTTTTTCTTTTTCCTTGAGGAACTCTGGCAGGCCGAGACAGGAGGATTGTGATCAGGTCCAGCCTGGGCGTTTTCTGACGTAGCGAGACCCAGTCTCAAACTAAAAAATAAAAAGGGTTGGGGGTACAACTCAGTGGGAAGGCCCTAGGTTCAAACCCCAGTACCACAAATAAGTAAATATAAATTTTAAAAATACACTTTCTCACGGGATTGGAGATTAAATGCAATAATGGTGCATATGTGTTCTCTTCGAACTACATAGGATTTTAGTCTTGATAAAGCCATGGTAAACTGAAAATATCAGTTAAAAGTACAGGCACACACCTGTACTCCCAGCACTCGGAAGGCTGAGGCAGGAAGATTGCCATGAGTTCGAGGCCACCCTGGGCAACATAGTGAGTTCAAGGACAGTTTGAACAACATAGCGAGACCTTGTCTCCAAAAGAAAAGTACATTTAGTACATCCTAGAGAACACCGTGGCTTAGCAACAGCGAATTCTAGTGTAGGTGGTGTCTTCTGGAGGTTGCAAGGCTGATCTGCAGCCATAGCTGCCGGCATCATCAAAGTATCTAGAGCACAAGGCTAATCTAGGAAAAGCTCAACTTTCAGAAGGCAAAGCTTGGTGTCTACTGCGTGCATATTGGTTTTGCCCAGCTTTAAAACAAACCACTGTTGTCAGGAGCTGTGTGTGCATGTGTGTGTGTATGTGTACATGGCCAAGGCCTCCTTACTGTTAAAACATAGAGGAACTGGAATGAATGAGTAGATGTGAATTAGAAGGTGAACCTACTCACCTACTAATGTGGGTTGGCTGAAATTTCATTTAATTGGAAAACTCACTTTATAGTGAGGAAACTGAGGCTCAGTATTAAAAGGACTTGACTAAGGGGTGACCACCTATCCTAAAAAGCAGAATTAAAATTTGCTTAACTAAGGTCTTCTTTTCAACAAGAACAGCATAGTGCCGAGCTTGTAAAAGTATTGAGATAAAAGTGATTTTTAAAATACAAAAAACGGCCAGGCATGATGGTGTACCCCCGTAATCCTAGCACTTGGGAGGCTGAGGCAGGAGGATCAACTCAAGTTTGAGGCCAGCTTGGTAGACATAGTGAGTTTAAGGCCAGTCTGAACTACATAGTGAGACCCTGTCTCAAAAAACAAACAAAAGATTTTGCTTTTTATATTAAAAATTTTGGCCCACCTAGAATTTATCCCAGCATTCCTAGGGCTGATATATCTTTCTAATTTCTGGAAGATTTAATGAAGCAGAGTGACTCAGATTTTTTTCTTCAGAATTGGGGATTAAATCCAGGGCTTCACATATGCTAAGCAAGTGTTCTAACACTGACCTACATTCCCAATCCTTTTTGAGACAGCATCTTGTTAAATTGCCCAGCTTCACTTCAAACTTGCAATCCTCCTGCCTCAGTCTCCTGAGTAGCTGGGTGTCTTGGCCACTTTTCTCATTGCTGAGACAAAGTACCCAACACCCACAAGTTAAGGGAAGAAAGATTTACTTAGTTCACAGTTTGTAGAAGTTTCAGTCCCTGTGGGCTGGCTCTAAGTCAGGGTTTCGTGGCAGAGGGGCATTGCAGTGGAAAAATAGTCCATAGAGTGGCAGAAGGCCGCAAGCAGCAGACAACAGCCGCAGAAGCAGCAGAGTAGCTTCTTTCTATACCTTATATTCCATCCAGGCTGCCCAGGGTGGGACACCCTTAATCCCAGGATCACACTCTTAATCCTAGCATCACACAGCCTATCCCAGGCTGCCCTCAAAACTCCCCACCTATGACCCCATGAGGTTTTGAGGGGACATCTAGATACATCCAGAATGCTGGGATTACAAGCATTTGCCACTCTGCCCAGGCCATATTTGTATTTTAAATAGATCTTTTAAAAAATCGGTTTACACCACAGCCAACAGTATTAGCAGCCCCGAGCAAGAATGAAGCCAATCAGGGCCTCGGTGGATGACTGAGGGATGGTTAGAGGTTATGTTAAAGCAAACCTTACCTGCTGAATCAGCTACTGCTGAAACTCTAGCTCTATCCTGTCACAAATTCCTTTTGTCTACAGCATTGTCCATGTAATACTTACACTTACTTCACTCCTGTTACTTTTAAAATTGTTTCCTAAGTACTTCAAGAGCAGGAATTTGGCTTATACCCATCCCTCCCTAAGGCCTGTAGTACTGAATGATAACTGAGTTCTGCATGCTCTAATCTGAGCCCCGGGGGTGAGAGCCAGAAACACTGCGTGGCAATTAAAGAAAAAAGCAGTTTTGTTTTGTTTTTTTTTTTTAAAGTACTGGGGTTGAACTCAGTGCCTTCATACTGAGCTCTATGCCCAGCCTTTTTAATTTGTGACAGGGTCTTGACAAATTGTTAAATTGCCCAGTTTGGGCTCATCCTCCCGCTTCAGCCTCCTGCAGCACTGGGATCACAGAACTGCGTCACCACTTGGAGTCTCATAGCTTTTGTAATCTTGATCAATCCTCCTTGAACTCCTAACCAAAGCAAGTGACCCCAGGTCCCCAGGTAAGGACTCCTTCCATTTTGCTTCTCCTTCTCCTAGAAATTTTGTCCTTTGATCCTTCTGAATGTTTTTAATCCATCTGATTCCCTCACTCGCGTAATGCAACAAAAAGGTGTCTTTAAAAAAAAACAAAACACTGTTCCTTGTCTAGATTCTTCATCTGGGTTCTGCTCTCTCATACTCAGAGCTCTCTAGCAGCTTCCTAAAGTCAGACCTTTTTATTTTTTGTTGTACTCAGGATTGAACTCAAGAGTCTCATGGATGATAGTGACCACTGAGCCAAATCCCCAGCCTTTTTTCAGCTAGGGCCTTGCTAAATGGCCCAGTCCAGGCTTGAGCTTGAGATCCTCCTGCTTCAGCCTTCTGAGTAGCTAGGATTACAGGTATATGCCACCATCCTCAGTTGTCCATACGTTAGGTTTTTTTAAAGAACTCTTTAAAAAGCTCAAATAATCAAACCTGATGGTACTTAAAATGTATATATGCATATTATATATAATTTTTTATAGTTAAATCTGAACACAGTATCTTTGAAACTATGGGGGAATAAAGCAGTGATTTTTTTGTTTCATTTTTTTTGAAATAGGGTCTCACTATGTGGTCCAGGCTGGCCTCTGACACATGGTGATCCTCCTGCCTCAGTCTCCTGAGTGCTGGGATTACAAGTGTGTGCCACCATGCCCAGCTGTTCGTTCAATGTAGGGCAGTATTTAATGTCAAAATAGGTACATGAATTAAAAGTACTCAATGTTAGTTTAGTGTTACTGCCAAGCATGAGACCCTGTCTGAAAAACACCCAAAAGATAGAGTGCTATCTATTAAGCAGTTGCAACTGAGGACCGTGCATCTCTTACTGCTAAACTGCTAAATTCAAAGCCATGAAATATTTTTAATACCTGCAGAATTTTTTCTAGCAAAATTAGGGCAATCCTCCTTCCTTTCATTGGGAATTGAATCCAGAGCCTTCATACCAAGCTATATCCCCAGCCCTTTTTAAAATTTTGAGACAGGATCTTACTAAATCATTCAGGCTGGGCTAGAATTTGTGATCTTCCTGCCTCAGCCTCCTATAGTGCTGGGATTACAGGCATGTACCATCATGCCTGGCAAAGGCACAACTTTAGAAAAGGATCAACATAAATCCCTTGCTCAGTATTTATCAACCATGGTGTAATTATAATTACTTCAGTCCCATCTATGCTGGCTCCAATCCTTGTTGAAATAAAAGCACAGTTTGGCATATGGGAGATGATCCCCTAGGATTTAGGGTTAAAGTCAGAACGTTGGGTCATTTATCTTGAGATAAATAGAGAAACTGTAAAATTCTTGGTATTTCTGGATATGGCCAAACTGCAACATTTGAGCCCGTTTCTTATAAAATTGAAACCTATTATAACAATAATGTAGTTTTGCTTTTTGTGAAAAGCTGATTAAATCTTTTGGGTACTCCCTCCCCCAACCCATGTTGGGGACTTAGCCCAGGGCCTTGTGCACTTTGGTCACCAACAACTTTATATGCACTCTCATTAACAACTGAAAATACCTGAACTCTCCTGAATTCAACTTTTTATTTCAACTTTCTACTTGAAAGTTCTAAGTCACTGAATATAAGATCACTTTTAAACCTTCTCTCTTTTTAAAAAATTAATGGCATCACTTCAGTTACAATGAGGACTAAGTATCAGTGTTAGAAAAAGGCCCATACCCTAACCCGCACCCTAACCATACTCTAATCCTAACCATATCTTCTATCCTAAACCTGCTATAACCCTTACCCAAACCCTAAGCCTAACTCAAACCCGCACTTGAACACAAACTCACACACATCCAAACGTGAATCCATACAAAGACTGGAACCTTGAACGAGAACCCTAAACTTGAATAGAAACTCAAAACTAAACCCTCAACACCAAACCTAACCCCAAACAAAAATCCAAACACAAACCATAATCCCAAACTGAGTATGAATCTGAACACACACGAGAATATGAAGTCTGTATCTAACCAGAACACAAACCCAAACACAAATCGAAACAAACTCAGAATCACACCCAAACACAAACCTGACTCTAACGAACCCAAATACATACCTAAACGTGAGCCCATACCTCACATGATCCAAACCCATACACAAATCTGAAGACAAACCCAGCACTGAAACCAAACACAAACCTGAACCCGATTCTGGACTTACACACAAATGCAAACAGGGATCTGAACATTAATTGAAACGCAAATGCCAAACCCACTATCAAGTAATTCACAGAATGTCAGTGATCTTGATGTATCAATCATATATGAATTATGTATCAATTATATATATATAAATTGTGTCCATTATATATCAATTATATAAAATTAATGTACTATATATTATCGGTATTCTTCATTCAGCGACCAACTTCTTTTCCTGTGACTAGGCCATTAAATGAGTTGGCCAGCTGGGCCTGGTAGCACACACCCGTAAGCCCAGCACTTGGGAGGCTGAGGCAGGAGGACTGCTATGAGCTGCGGCCAGCCTGAGCTACAAAAGTGAGTTCAAGGCCAGCCTGAATTGAATAGTGAAACCCTGTCTCAAAAAGGCAAAAAATAAATAAAAATAAAAGAACTGGTCAATGGGTTAGGAATTGTATATAATGTACAATATTCAGAACAAAGAAATGGTCAAAGTAAACTAACTTGATGACTTTTTTATTTGCATAACTTTTACATGCAGCACTGTAATATATAACAGAATGTAAAACTACAGTACTGTACCATACAGTATAATCATCAAATAGTACAGTACTGTACAAATAAGGTATACTGTACAAAAAAGGACACAGGCTGTATAAACAAGCTGCACACAACTGTACAAAGAAAAAGATGGGTTTTAAGTCCGAAGGGCAGACTAAATCCAGTATGCCTCGATTCGGAAGACCAAACAGTTGTTAAACAAGTAGGTTATTAAATGAGGAATATCTGTATATACCACCTGCATATATATATATGTATACGTATATATATAAAAAATGTATCTACTATATATCAATTATATTTGATATCTATTATATGACCATTGTTATATACCAATTATTTTGGTATATCAGTATATCAAATATTGGGCCAGGGATATAGCTCAGTGGCACAGCACCAGCCTAGCAAGCAGAAGGTCCTGAGTTTGATTCCTGATACCAAAAAAAAAAGTATACCAATTATTTTGATAACCCTAAGAAATGTAAAGATTTGTCTTCTCTGAATGAGCTGTTTCAACATCCATAAAACAAGCCAAATACTGGACTATTCCTCTAAAAATAAATATTAGACAACGAATTTATATTCAAAATATAGAAATAACTCTCAATGCCAACAATAATCCAACAAAAAAATGGAAAATGTCTGAACCACACATCGGATCATAGAAAACAAAATCATGGCAAATAATTCAAGGTACAAAATCAGTATTGTTCTTGAGCATAAAGCAGGAACTCACTAAAAAAAAAAATCAGTAAACAATCCCACTGATGACAGTTTCAAAAAAATCAAATGCCTAAGATGAACATAGCAAAGGAAGTAAACATTCCCTAAAATAAACTGTAGTAGTCAAAAAGAGATTGAAGATTTTAGAAAATAGACACTCCCTGTTCCGGGTTAGGAACAGCAATCAATACTGTCACAACGTCCATATTCCCACAAATAGATGAGTAATGCAATTCTCATCCGACTACTTTCAGTGTTCTTTACAGAACTATAATGCACACTCCTACAATTCACGAATCAGAAAACACCAAGAGTAGCTTAAGAACTCCCAGGCACAAGAGCAAAACAGGCAAAATGATTATTCCAGATTCAAAGTTATGCCAAAAGCCTACAGTTCTAAGTATATCATGTGAGTGCCACGAAAACATGTATTGATCACAACAGAATTCAGAATGAACAAACAACCCCAGACACTTTTGGCCACTTGACTTTGGACAAAAGACAAAAAACATACACCAGAGGACAGTCTCTTCAAAAATAGTGCTGGAAAAACGGGTGATCCCAGTGCAGATGTTAAAATCCAGACCCACATCTCACACATACTCTATGAAAACCAAGTCAAAATGGACGAGAGAACTAGACATTAAACTAGAAACGCTGATTTTGCTGGAAAACAGGTAAAGCTCCTGAAGACATGGGCATCACCAAGGACTTTCTAAACACCTCAACTGCACAAGCGATTAATACCAAGCATCAACAAATGGGATCGCGTCAAATTAAGATTTTTACAGCAAATAAAACAGATTGAAGAGAGAACCTCCAGAGTGGCAATTTTTGTCAGCAATTCCTTGCAAAGAGAACTAACATCTAGAATATATAAAAAGCTCAAAAACATTATACACCCCCAAAATAAAAGACCAAATTAAAAAAATGAGAACTCAAAATGGATGTCTCAAAACAACAATGGCTACAACACGCAGAAAAAAGGTATGTCCAACATCTTTGTCCATTAGAGAGATGCAAATCAAAACCCACTTAAGGTTGAGCTTATGCCAGTAAGCATGCTATCATCAAGAACTCAAAAAATAACAATGCAGGTGGGGTTGTGGGAAAAAGGGAACCGTTCTGCAAAGTTGACTGGAAAAAGAGATAGTACAACCACTCTGGAGGAAATATTGATAAACACTAAAAGCAGTGACCCTTATCAATTATCAAATAATTGATAAACACTAAAAGCAGCGATCCTTTTGACTTAGGTAGAACTCTTCTGGGTATCTTCACGAGACATGAGCATATTTTACAGAGATAGGAACATTCCTTGTTTATAGCAGCACAATTCGTAATACCTGAATTTTGGAAATTTCCATATCCATCAACATGTATTTTTTTATCTGAAGTTATGCAGCTACAACCACACACAGTTGTGGCTAACTTTGTCCTTGGTGAAAGGTTTCTAAACCCAAACAGAAACCAGATTTGTGTGAAAGGCCAGTGACAGTTTGGGCCGCTGACCACGGTGGATCTGGGCTGAATATAAAACTACTTAACTCACAATGTCAGGACTTTCCTAAACCAGTTTTATTTGAAACACAAATAAGTATTTCCTTTCTGTCATGGCAAATGATTCAAATAATGCTGAACATGAATCACTAATACAAGGGTTTTAAATATGAAACAAATTATTTTTAAAAAAGCAAAGGAATAATAGTTATATACAAAAGGTACCTGGAATCCTTAAGCTGATTCCAAAAATGAAATGAGTTTATAAAATCTACGGTGAAACCAGAACATTCCACCCGCTTTGGAGGAAGGGTTATAATACAACATTCAGTCAGCTGAAGATGGATTGGTAGAGGTGTCTGTACAAAAATTTCAAGTCAGTTTTGCTTGCGCAGAGTCATCCAGATCTTCCCAAGACTGAATGGGCAGTCCCGTGGCTTTCTTCCTTTTCCGTATTCCCAACAAGGCTACATGAAGTTCAACTCTTGATGAGCCACTTACAACAGCAGTTCCTTAGGAGCCAACATGACAGGTGGTTCAATTTCTTTATGAGAAACAAAGCTAGCCACCTACAGCAAGATATCAAAATGGACAAGTCCTTTTTCCTCCTCCTGATTACGTACAATGTCTCCCTTCGAGACTATTGTCCCCATCACACTTGTTCCTTCACAAGTCTAACCCTTGAGGTGATATGAAGGAGACCAACATCAAGAAAAGAAAAACTCAGAAATGAAAACAACTGGAAGGTATACAATACACCCCCAGAGCATCTCAAAATCCCAGCTACAGTACAATTCAGAGTACGGTTACGGTCCTTCGAGAAGTAACTGCAGCTTTAGTGGGTTTTTTTTTTTTTCCTATTCAGGCGGTTAAAGGGCACCAAATAAATACTGGGCAAGAGGAGCTTGCTGGGAATTAGAAATTTAAAAACCGGCCACTTTATGTCCCTGTGATAATTCAATGTCAGTAGGAAGTGTGTACTGAAGAAGAGAAGGGACAACTTTCATACTAAAAAATAATTCCTCTAATTCAGGGAATCCCGGAAGTAGAAAATCAGGTTCAGGGGACCCCTGAGGCACTTTAAAGCCTTTAAAAAAATTACAGTAATAATAAATTAGCTATTGCTCTTCAGAGGCTTACAGGGCAGCTTAAGCATCAAAATCAGGTCCAAAGAACTATGTCCATATTTCAGCTTTCTTGAGCTACTCAGGTCTCTTTAAAGCTTAGTTGAAATCTCCAAATACCATTAAAAAGACATATAATTTAACAGACTGAATGGGGTTTTTGTTTAGTGGTAGCATGGAATTTGGTCCACAATGGTAGCAGCTGTCTTTATCTATTTCAAACACACATAATATTAAGTACATTAAGACGACACATAAAAGAAAGGATGCAACAAAGGGGGAAACAGCTAAACATGACAAACACCTCAAGGAATTACTAAGTTCTCTTACACCCTTTCAGCTCAGAGCTCCCTCTCAGTCTTTTTTTTTTTTTTTGTGGAGAGAAGGGTATTACAGAACTTTTCTCAAAGATGCTTAACAATGGCATAAAATGGTTAGCAGGGGACTTGAAAAAAATCTAACCCCAAGGAATCCAGAACACAAACAGTAAGTCAGAGGTATACTTCTGATTTGGGGCAAATTGAACAATAAACAATCATCTCAGGTACATGTTACAAGTTAGGATAGATGAAATAAGTCTTTTTTTTTGGTGAGTTTTTTTTTTTTTTTTTTTTTTTTAAGTGTTCTCACTACCACTTTCAGCTATCAATCATTTCTGAGAGTTCAAGCAGAAGATCGTCTTCATCTTTCCCAGGATCCAGGTCAATCTCGGCTTCTAGTTTGCCTCCTGAAATCTCCCATATTAGCTTCTCAAAATCATCCTCCACAGAGAGCGGGGGCTTTCCTGTCGAGGCAGAGCTGAGGCGGCGTGTTTTCGTGGCCGTCTGGGATGAGGAAGGGCCAGACACTTCTGGGGGTGTGGGGTCTGAAGAGGACTGGGTTGGAGACAGCACAAAACTGTAAGTACGAAATAAAAGGAGATCAGAAGTAAGCATCCCTCTTTTCAATGGTTAGCTGAACTTATCTCAGGGACACAAAGTTAACTAAAGTTATTTCTGAGCATATGTGTAAGACAAAATTGTTTTACTGATTTGAGAGCAAGCATGTTTACAATTTAAGGGTATAATTTAGCCAGGTATTAAAAACACCTTTTAGATAATGTGGACAAACTATAAGCAATGGCACCAAAGAAGAATAATCCTGAATTTTATGTTTTCTTAACAATTAATTTAAAATTCAACAATTTAAATGTGGCTAAACTTTACGTGTTACTCTCTCGAGAGCATAAACAATACAGTGGCCTACAGCTGGATTAAGAAAAATTACAATGCATTACCTGTCTCTAGGTGTTTCTGTCTCAGGCACAGTGACTGATTCATCCTCAGAGGTCAGTGGGACAACAGCCTACAAAAGGAAGAGTAAGTAATTCAGTGAGAGTCAGGTGCTGGCATCTGAGTCCATCCATTTTCTTTTGCTATCTTTTTAGAATCATGGCTCTCTATCCCTACTCCCTCACTTTAGGGTGCTAAGGCTTAAACCCAGGCCTTACATACGCTAGGTAAGCACTCCATCACTGAGTTACACCCCCAACCTACTGGCTATCATTTTTTTTGATTTTTGTTTTTGTTTTTTTGAGACAGGGTCTCACTGCGTACTCCAGGCTAGCCTTGAACTCAGGGCAATCCTCCTGCCTCAGCCTCCCAAGCGCTACAATACAGGTATAAGCCACCATGCCTGGTGGCTATCATTCTTCACATTGAGGAATCCAAGAATCCAGTAATACAAAGGCTGAGCATACAAGTAGGCAAAATATCTTGCCACCCCAAAATTAGTTTTTAAAAACTCCTGTCATAACACTTCACAAATGTCTAAGTGTAAATATAAGATACAGTAACAAACTAAACCACTGAAATGCACAGGAAATGGCACGAAGTGCTACACACAAACAGCCAATGGACACTCAATCTTGCCTACAATGAACAAAGCACCCTGACATGGATGTGCTTCTTACCACAGCTGCTTTTTTGGCTGGGATTTCCTGCAGGGCACTGTTGGAGCTGAGTGGCTTCACCGCTGCAACAACAGCAGGATGCATCTCCGCGGCCTTGCGTTTTTGGGCCAGTTTGGGAGATGAAACAACTTTAACCACAGATGGCTTCACATTTACTTTGGGTTTAGCTACAAGGAACAGATAATATCTGGTTAACAGCTAGAATGGCATCTTTTACATGAAGAATAACTCAATAAAATACCAAAATTCCCACTGTACTAGAAATATCAAGTACATAAATAAAATCCCAGACAGAACATAATCTACTACAGGTGACTATAATGTAGGTAATACACACTCAATCCATTTCATGGCTTCTTAAATTTGTTACTATTCTATTCCCTGGTATTTTTCTTCTTCAAAATCAGAGGAAAGATACACCACAGAAAGGTTTTGACAAAGCTATTTAAACAATTTAAAAGCTCTTGAACAGCAATTAAGTGCTCTCTTCGGCAGCATGTATACTAAACAGAATTAAATTCTGAGAAAGAAATTGCATTTAGTTTTGTCTTTATATAATAGTACCACGTATTACTACCTATCTGTGTGATCAGTACACAGAGAAGTGAAATTCAACCCATCTATCGTAAGGGAGTTCCTGAAACTTGGTACTGTAATTCTGATATCCTAAAGCAAGATGCACACTATAAAAAACACTCACCTTTACCCCTTTTCTCCAAAGGCTGTGCTGCACACTTCACACTCAATACTGAGTCCCCAGTCCCTGAGGTTTCTGCTTCTATCTTCTGGCACGACTTTGCAGGAAGCCGCTTGCTAAGGTGTCGTGAAACACTGGACACAGCAGTGAGCACAGGTTTCTCCACCACATGGGTGTTGTAAGAGGCTGCATCTCCCCACAGGGGTGTCAAGACTGATTTTTCCTTCTGTGAGGCTCCCCTCTCCTGCTGTTTCTGTGCATGATTCTCTCTCATGGTCTCACATCTCTTGATTGGAGTGGTTGCGGAATCAACTCCTACAGTCTCATCAGAAGCCTTTTAGCCGATATAAAATGACAAAATTAAAATTAGTACTTCTAATAACCTATGATGATTTATAAAGTACCAGGCTAACACTTAAGCAGAGGGTTACATGGTTCAGAACCTGAGAGAAAAGCTCCTTGATACTATACAGAGAATAGAATGCTAAAGATGAAAAAATGCAATGCTAAAAGTGAAAAACAAAAGAATAAACTTTTTTCAGGCTAGACAACCATGACCAGAAGTCAAACAATGCCGAGCATAGTGACACAAGCCTGTAATCCTAGCACTCGGGAGGCTGAGGCAGGAGGACTACTGAGAGTTCAAGACCAGCCTGAATTACAGAGTGAAACCCTGTCTCAAAAAAGAAACCCCTCAAATACCAATACTACTACTAATTAATTACACAAAGACCTATGCACACTTTTTTTTAATTGTGTAAATCAAAATCAATGTCCAGAAAGACTGTTTTCACATAATAAAATATGTAGTCAGTAAAGGCAAACATCTTAAAATAATGCAGTAAAGTTAAAGCAGGCTGCAAAATGAGAACTCTTACGAAGTCCTCAGGCACTAAAACTTTAAATATGCATTAAAACATTAAACACATTTTCACACATGCACACACAAACATGTAGCTTACAAAACTATGACATTTGTTCATTCTTTTTTGAGACAGGGTCTTGCTACGTAGCCCAGCCTGACCTTAACTTGCAATCCTCCTGTCTCAGTGTCCAGAGTGCTAGGATTACCAGGGTGGGCAAGACCACCTTCACTTTTCTTTTCCTTTCTTTTTTTTGGATGTGGTGTCTTACTATGTTGCCCAGGTTGGCCTTGCACTCTGTGTTTTTGTGATGATCCTGCCTCAGCCTCCCAAGTAGCTGGGTCTACAGACATTGGCTTATTCTTTTAAAAAAGTTCAGCCAGGCATGGTGGCATATGACTGGAATCTTAGCACTTGGGAGGCTGAGGCTGGAGGACTGCTATGAGTTCAAGGTCAGCCTGGGCTACATAGTGAGTTCAAGGCCAGCCTGGTATATAGCCAGACCCTGTTTCAAAACAACAACAACAACAAAAAACCCCACAAGAACAGGGCCGGGATATAGCTCAGTGGCACAGTGCCTGCCTGGCAAGTGTGAAGTCTTGAGTTCAATTCCCAGTACAGAAAAAAAAAAAGCTCACCAGGTTTTGTGCAATGCATGGCACGATTCAGAAGCTGGGCAAAAAAACCACCTCAGTTCACTATGTAACATAGGCAGGCCTGAAAATCACAGTAATTCTCCTGTCTCAGCTTCCCAAATGCTGGAATTACAGGTGTGTGCCACCAGGCCTAGCCACACAATGATTTTAAACCAACTCACCTCATTGGCCTCTGTCCTAATAGCACTGCTCAGAGAAGCCACTTCACTTCCTTCCTGAAGCTTTTTCTCCTCTTTCCCACCTATATTCAAAGACATCACTAGTTATTTAGGTGGAGACTTTATGAGATAAAGTTAAATATTACTTCTCTTTATGAGAGTAATGATAAAAGATTATGACATAGAAAATTATAAAGTCTCAAAATAGATATTAAAATATCAAAGGTCTATACAGTGTTGCTTTAAACAAATAACTTCATCGATTCCAGTGATTTTCAAAATCTAGGCAAAGTTCTCAAAGAACTATGAAGACTGCATGGCACACTGTTCTGTGGGCGATGACTTGGAGAAGCGGGACCACAGACCTGTTCTTTTGGTGATTCGGAGCAGCCGCCTTGTCCCTGGGGTGGCCTCGGGCTGGGGCTGGGAACCAGTGCTGCTCTCACAGCCCTGCTGCACCCTCAGTGCCTTCTCCAGTTTAATCTCCTCCAGGGTCTTAATGTGCACCTCCTGCATAGATTTTGTTCTACCTGCAGGCTCCTCTGACTGTCCTTTGCTGACAGCGACGGGTGGCAAAATCACCGTTTTCTTAATTTCACTATCAGTCTTTAGCTTGATGCCAGTTGCATCCTTTTTGCTTTTTTGTCTCTCTGTCTCCTGCTGCCGATGTTTTTTTTCAGCCAAGACTTCAGAGAAGGTTTTGATTCGGACGCCGGAGGAGCTTTTTGTTCCCAGTGTAGAATCGTCAGGTTTTGAAGATCCTTCTGTCTTGAGTTTAGTTTGCAATTCTCCACGTTTTTGACTGGCTCTTTCAAGAAGAATTTCTTCTAATGTCTTCACATGGATCTCACCAATTTTATTAACTCTCTCTGGGGGAAAAAAAGCCTTACTTGGAGTTTAATGACTTATGACCTCTCTACTGCTGGGTTAATACAGTACAATACACATAGATATCACTTAGGCAATTAAAATGATCAAAAGTATTGCATTAGTTTCACTCTCAATTTGAGACAATTCATATTTCAGGTAGGCAGCAGCCCTGCACAAAAACTATGAAGAAGCAAAAACCACTGAGTTGTATTTCTATTCACAATCTTAATCTTATGAGTTGATGAACTCTGTCATCACAAACCTCACCAATCAAAATGCAGTCATAAAAAAAAAATGCAATCATATCTTAGTACTTGTTAGTATTCTGTTCTGCATCTTGCGACATGTGCCAAAATTGATATATACTAAATGCATTTTTGCTATAACAAACAGTGTAATTATCAATAATTCATGGACGTTCCCCAGAACTTTCCCATTATACTTGTTAACACTAGCTTTTTTCTGGGCTAAGATAAGCCTTTCATTCTTAACCTTTTTATGAACAAGATTACCATTTAAAATACACAAAAGACCAAGATAGTGCCGGGTGTGGCGGCACACACCTGTAATCCCAGCATTCTGGAGGCTGAGGGTAGTTCAAGGCCAGCCTAGACTACATAGTGAGTTCAAGGTCAATCTGAACTATATAATGAGACCCTGTCTCAAAAAACAACAATAAAAAGTACAAGTAACAAGGTAACCTAGCCAGACTCTTTCAGAAAAAGAAAAAAAGCCAAGTATGGTGGTGCATGCCTGCAATCTCAGCACTTGGAAGGCTGAGTTAGGAGGATCCTTGCAAGTTCCCAGCATGGGCTACAAAGTGAGCTCAAGGCTAGCCTGAGCTGCATAGCAGGACCCTATCTCAAAAAGACCAAAAAAAAAAAAAAGGGTAGGGGTAGGGAAATGGAAGATATAGCTCAGCTGTAGAATGCTAGATCTCATCCCCCGCACCAAAAATTAACTGTAATAATTTGGAGATTTACACTTAAATAAGATAATCAATAACAACTTTTAATGAGATTAAAACAAAATGTGTTCTGTCACTTGCTCAATCCTATGAGTCTACTGTCTCCTCTATTTGGAATATTCCTTATCTCATTTTTCTTGCTGCCCGGTTGGTTTTAATTGAGGTCAGCTTAGAATCTGACATCCTCCGATCTAGTTTGTTTCTCTGATCACATAGTACTCTAAGTGCCTGTACCTCCAAACACATACTTCGTGAGAACAGTGACTATATTTGGTTCTCTGCAACATATCAGTGCAGTTTTGTTACAAAAGGGAACACTCTCATGCTTACTAAAGTATCTCCTTAGGTTTTTAAAAAAATAACTTTGCCCATTTCGAGGTGGCAAACTTTCTCAAAAGTAGTACTGAGTAGGACATGAATGGTAACATGGTTCCCTACCAAAATTCACTGAAATGATACAGAACACATTTAAAATAAAGTTTACACTAATCCTGAGAAAGTATGATACTCCTGGCAAAGTATAAATCCTGAAGAATTTCTCAGAAAAGGTGGATGTCTAAGATGGGCATGGTGGCACATGCTTACAATTCCAGCACTCTGAGAGGCTGAAGCAGAAGAAGCACAAATTCTAACCCAGCCTAGCGAGACCCAAGTCGCAAAATTTTTTTAAAAAGCTCAGTGCAAAGGCCCTGGATTCAAGCCTCAGTACCTCAAGAGGGGTTGGGGAAGCGAGAGAAAACAGATGTCTGAATTTATACAGATATGGAATCATTATCTCTGAAAACGGGCCTTTGTTTCTGTTCTTTTTTTTTTTTTTTTTTTGGTACTGGGAATCAAACTCAGGACCTTGCGCTTGCCAGGCAGGCGCTTGTGCCACTGGGCCATATCCCCAACCCCCAGATATGGAAAAAGAATAGCAGGCCTGAGATCTGCTCTTCCTAACAAAATTAAACTGTCCAATTTGGGTTAACTAGCTTGAAAAGCAACAGTGGGCTCTATGGTAACTATTAGGATAGAAATCTAAAGACTAGAGATGTAGCTCAGAAGAGTGCCTACATGCACAAGGCTCTGGGTCTGATCCTCAGCATACTGCACACACTTGTGCACACATGCAAATAAACACACACAAATACTGCAAATTTAACAGCTGCCTGTGGAACAGCTGAGCCAGTCATGACCTCCTTCTAAGAACAGCTCCCTAAGAAATAGAGAATTTACTCAAGAAGAGCACATTATGAAGATATTCGGGCTAGAAAAAATACATGAAAATTTTAGGCTTTCAGAAGTACCAAGCAAAATGCATGGGGTTGGGGTGAATAAAAAGCAAAGCAAGAAAAGGAAAAAAATTAGGTCCTCTCAGAATAAGGAGTCTTTTTCACTACAGCAACTGTAATCAGCCCAGCCTTCCAGCCCACAAGCCACACAAGCAGCCTTTTGATACGCCTTCTTCAGTTGGGCTGATGTAAATTAAGTGTCCTAGTCAGGAAAGAGGTCTACTTGGGGAAAAGCCTTTTGAACCACAGAGGAAACCTAAGCCAAACATTTCCAACAGTAGAAAGCATTAAAAATGGAGCAAGAATCCAAAACAATACATACACACAAACAGATTTTAACAGCAGATTCAGGGGCTGGGGTATGCTGAGCTACGAAAAAAACAAAAAACCCAACCCCAACTAAAATAACAACAAACTTAATCAGAGTCAAATTAGAAACTCCACAGCGGGTTGAAACCAGGCTTGAAAAAAGGAAAAATCATGGAACAATATAAGTTCCAGGAAAACAAAAGTGCTAAAATAAACTCATTTGAAAAACTAAAGACAAGACTGATCTAAAATCAGCCGTTTAAAACAGGGTGGGCAAACTAGCCAAATTTGGCCACTGCCTAATTTTGTAAATAAATTTTGTCAGGACACAGCCACACTTATTCATTTACATAGTGCCTGTAGCTGCTTTCACGTTACAATGGCAGAGCTAAGTGATTTTGACAGACTAAACCACAAAGTCTAAAATACTTTTTGTTTCTTGTGATGTTAGGGATGAACCTAGGGCTTTGTAGTGCCAGGCAAGCACTGAGCAACACCATTCTAGCCCAGAGCCTAAGATATTTACTACCTGACCCTTTACAGAAAATTTGTTATCAATTTCTGATCTATATGAAACTACAAACACAGTTCGCAGAAGGCGAGGTAAAAACAAAGAGATAGAAAGTATGAAAGCAAGGTCAAGACACATATGAAGCACTATGTACCCAAAGTTTCAATATTTACTTACAAGAATTTTTTAACAAGAAAAAAAAAAGTGGGGAGGACAGACTCAAGAAGAAATTAGAGGAATGTTTCCAGAACTAATGACAAGTTCTTAGATTCAAATGGCCCACTAAATGCTCCAGAATGAACCAAAGAGATCTGAGCTTGGATCTACCACTACAAAGTTGCAGCACACTGGAAAGAGGTACAGAGAAAATCCCAAAAATTTCTGGAGACTATCAGACTATCTACAGAAGACTAAGAACATCCAGCTGGGCATGGTGGTGCATGCCTCTAATCCCAGCACTTGGGAGGCTGAGGCAGGAGGATCACTGTGAGTTCGAGGCCAGCCTAGACCACTAAGTAAGTTAAAGGCCAGCCCTAACTGCATAGCAAAACACTGTCTCAGACAAAAAAAAAAAAAAAGAACATCCAACATCATACTCCCTTTTGGGATGGTAGTTTAACAGTTATACCAGGAAATGATAGGATGAAAAAAAAGTATATGCTTATGTCACTCGTAAGTACAGATTTGAAACTTATTTATCACACATGAAAAGCAACACGTTGAATCCTACAAAATATAAAAAAGCTGGATGATTAGGGTTACAACTCAGTGGTAGAATGCTTGCATAACCAGCACAAGGCCCTCATCCTCAGCATGACTACAAAACACACAAAAAACTGGGTGGTTGAATTTATGGATGTCTTATTATTCTTTAAATTGTGCATATGAGATGTGGTTGAATTAATGTTTAAATGAAAAACATTAATGTTTAAAATATAAAAATACTGCCCTTCCACTCACATACACTTATCCCATCATTCTTGCCACTTTCAGAAGCACATCTGTAAAAGTCCTCCCTCATGTCTTTAATTTCACTGCCCTCGGTGCTTCATCCTTAAATGATTCAAAATGAAGTGTTTTTGTTTGGTTTGAGTTTTTTGAGACAGGGTTGCACCATGCAGCCCAAGCTTGTAACCCAGGCTGGCCTCAACCTTGCAGCAATCCTCCTGCCTCAGCCTCCCAAATGCTGGGATTACAGCCAAGCACCACCATGCCCTGCACAAAATGTTTACTTTTCATGGTCATTTTGACTCTGTGAAAGAGCCAGAAGTTGCACAATGCCAGAATTGGTCAATAAAGTAGATAAGGACACACTGTAAAGTGTTTCTGATGGCACACAACAGGATTCACTGTATTTTTGATCACACCTTGTATACAGAGTACATGTTTTTTTTGAGACTACATTTCTTTGCTAAGACACTTCTAAAAAAAAAAACAAAAGCCAGGCATCGTAGTGCATGCTTGAAATCCTAGCTGCTTGAGAGGCTGAGGTACAATGGTCTCAAGTTTGAGGACAGCCCAAGCAACTTAGCTAGATCCTGTCTCAAAATAAAAAACATTAAAAGGGTTGGCTGGGGCTATTGCTCAGTGGAGCGTGCCTGCATTCCATCCCCAGGATCCCCACCCCTACAGTGGTCTTTCATAACCTTTCTTCATTTATACAGTGCAATTTGGCTCATCTGTAGGATTACTGTTCCCAACATGACCTCTTTATGGTCCAGGGCAAAGAACCTACAGCTTTGTGTATGTTAGGCACTGAGCTATATCACTGGCACATCAGAACATGACTTTTTATGACAGGAACTATTTTAGCATATAACTATAATAATTTTTACCTAATTCCATTTTGTTGGATATCCTACTACTAACATAATGAAGAACAATCATTTTGGCATCTTTAAATACAATAAAGGTATTTATACCAGTAAGTAATTGACAAAAAAACCTATGAAGAATGAAAGTACCATAACAATTTTACAATTTTGAGTACCTGTTGCCTCCTCACTATTTGGCCCAGCTGACGTGCCTAATCGCTCCTTCAGAGACTTGGAAACTTGAACTATAAAAAAGGAAAAAGAAAAGTCAAAATCTAAAATTTGAACAGAGACTTTATATGTTAAGTATTTTTTTCCAAGTTCATAAATTATGCTATTTTTAGTTTTTAGTTATTTTCAGCTTTTAGTTTTTGTTCTTTAATCTCAAGGTCTGAAATTTTTATTCTCCCCAGAGGAGATTTACATGAGTTACGAATTCCCTAGAGCACTGTGGAAAGCCAGGGACAGCGGGGACACACTTTAGATATGAAAAGCAAAAACTACTGAATTAATAATTCAAGGAAATAAATGTTACTGTACAGCATTCTAAAACCTTTTGGCATCAAAAGGTTTTCTTCCCCTAAATCTATTTGAAACATGTTCAATAGTTATGAAACGCTGGTATTATTGATGTGGAAGGCAGGAGGAAATCTGGCAAAGAAGGAGAACTTCTAATTACTCTGAGCACATCACAAGTCCCCAAATGGGAACATCTACTGATCAAAGGCTCTTGAACTAGAAAAATACATACAAAGAAGTTACTTATCCTCATAAAAAATTTAAGCACAAGAAAACAACAACTTCTTATCCTTTAGTAATTAGTTTAACAGTGCAATTAGTGTTTTACTGTTAATTCATACAAGGGAAACACAACCGAACCCTTGACTTCTCTCACATACACCATTCCCAACTCCCAAATCTCTCTAGATTTGTAGAACACTAAATCTATGCTCTATCTCCTTTTCCTGGATTAACTGCTTGTTAACCCCAACAGCAGTCTACTTATCTTTCTCCACACTGCAAGCAGGGTAACGCTTGTGAACTGCAAATCTGATCCCTTGGTGCCTATTTAAAGCCTTTCAATGGCTTCTTATTACCCTAGGATAAGCCCAAACGTTCTTAAAACGGCTTTAAAAATTCTCTAATGATCCAGTGCCTCCTCTTCGAGGCACCATACCCTTCACCCCAATTCTATGGGTTAGCTACACTCAGTTTCTCAAGCACATCACACTGTCCAGCTCCGGCACTCCACAAGGGTTATTCTCTCCTCAGGTCCACACTTCAGCAACGCGTCTTCTGTGAGCCTTTCCTTGATGGATGACAACATTAAATATACTTCCTGTGTGTTCCCATCCTACTGTGCTTTTTCTCACAGAATTCATCACAGTATCTGTAAGTATCCCTACCTGCCAGTATGCTACAAGTTCCTAAGGAGTGTGATGCCATTGATTTTGTTCAGTGGTATCTAACCCAGAATTTTCCAGAGTAAGCACTCAAATGTTTTTCAAATGGTAACAGACACCAAAAAATAACCTAATTAGACTAACCAACAGAATGAAGAACCATACTCGTTCACATTACAAGTATCAGGATCACACACAGACACACAGAATATTAGAACACAGGTACTTACCTTTCTTTGGTGCTTTGTCAGTATTCGGTTCTGGAGCTTCAATTTTCTTTCCCAGTCTCTGTGCCAGACTCCGCTTTAATGGGGGATCACTGTCTCCACCTACAAATGTGGGGAACTTGGTTTAAGACGGCAATCTTTAGCAAGGTCAAGAAATACAAGAAAAAAAAGAAAGATACTAAGAAACAGGGAGCTAGGCAAGGAAATGGGAGTGGGGTAAAAAGGAAATAAAGGCTCATGATGTGATATGGACATGTACCGATAGATCACATATATGTACTACAAACATACATTAATATAAAATTTTTAAAAAGAGTAATATAAGCAAAAACAGACAATGGAGAATAATTTTCTAAGTTTTCTGCATTTACACAGTATGTGTATGCAGCAGCTTCCTTAGGAACTCAATGTTAGAAAAGTAATAAAAATATCCTAGAAAGAAGATGTACAAGTGAATACCTACCAAATAATTGACTAAGACTACAAATGGAGGTTTAAATTCAAAATTAGGAATGTGAAAAATGTTCCCCCAAAAGTCTTAAAGCTGCATTACAAACTTTTAAATTTTCCTGTAACTCAAGAAATCTGAAAGCCTTTCTCTTCAATTCCAGGTAAGTTGAAATCTTAGGTTTCAACAGCCAGGCTTGGTGACACACACTCGTCATCTCAGAATTCAAGAGGCTGAGACAGGTGGACTGCCACGAGTTTGAGGCCAGTCTAGGCTATACAGTGAGTTCAAGGTCAATCTGAACTACTTAGTGAGACCCTGCCTCAAAGAACCCAAACAAGGCCAGTTGGGTAT